GATTTCTTGGACACGGCGGCTGTGCACGTTTCACCGCTGCTCCTTCACGGTGTCTGTGCGTACATGCACGCTCTTATTACTATTTCAACAGTTGGTTTATTGTCCTGGGTAATAACACTAATGCAAGCTGCTGCGTTGCTAACTTCTCTCTCTCTCTGTGTTTGCGTTGCGTGGGGCCAGGCCTGTAATTTGGACTCCCTGGATACTGCGGAGCCAGCCCAAGTTTTAAATCCAGGGACAGAGCCAGACTCAACGCAGGTAAAACGGATGAAACAAAGGCCCGATTGTGTAAATGCTACTTGGTTGAAGAATTATCTCGCAGATAATAGCGTCAAAGTTACAGGGACTCTCCAACCGCCGGGCGAGTGATGACTATACTGTGGCAAACGTTCTCTGGCGGTACTCGAGTAACTTTATGCAGAGATTCAAGGGAGAAAATGACAACTTTCTCACCAAGAAAAATAACATTGTTTTATTATTGTGTAACTGTGAGATATAAGTTGCAACTGAAGTTTTAAGATGAAGAGATCCTTTATTCGTCCCACAGTGGGAAAATTACAGACAGTATACAAATGAGGAGCAAAAAACACACGATAAATGAATATTAACTCTATAATAAAATAAACTAAAGTAAAATATCTAACTCTAGCATTTAAAGAAGCAGTGTAAAATCTTAATAAGGAAAGATATCTAAAATCTCCGACTTTTGCATGATGAAGAAGCAAGAAATACCTGAGCAACCTGAGTCAGGGAGAGTGGGAGAGGCTGCAGTACCACTTTGGGCCAGATTTTTTACATACTGCCCCTTTAAAGATGCAGTCAGTGATTTAATGTGTTTTGAAATAGTAATGAAAATGATCAGATGCCTATTGTCTACAAAAATTAATAAAAAATATTTTGGAGCAGACCGATAAAAATAAACCAATGGGATGCGTTTACCCGCTTCACCCTCTTCCTGTTTCTCGCGAGTGTACGCACATGAGTTATCGGATTATTTTCTAAAATCTACAAGGGCTGAACAGAAAAAGCCAATTTCACGTTTGCCGCCCACTTTCCCTGTTAGGACAAAGAAAAAAAAATGTTGGATGTTTGGTTTGGTGGAGAGGGAGGGGAGGGGGAGTGGTTTCAAGTTGGTGCTACGGCTAAGCTAACAACATTGCTAACTGCATCTTTAAGTAAGTAAGTAATGTTTATTTATACAGTGCATTTTACAGACCAAGGTCACCCAAAGCGCTTCACAATGTTAAGAGTTCAGATAAAGTGTCTAAAAAGTAAGAAATCAGACAACAACAGGCTGTTTTCATCTTATTGAAAAACAAGTTATCTTTTGCATTCCCTGAGCTGAGAGCTGATTGGCTGAGAGGGTGGTCCTCTCCTTTCCACTCATTAGTCTGAAGAAACTGATAAAAATGTGACAGAGGCCAAAACAGCAAGTGATAGAACCAAACTGTCAGATGGATTTTATTTCATAGTCATTATTGTTATCTGAAAGTTACACACTCCAGCTTTAGATCTAAACACCACAATATTTCCAACAAGCATTCAGATATTACAGCTTAATTTTCAGAGCTTTCACAAACACGTTCCCGTCCTGACTTGCTTGGTTCAGCAGCAGCGAGCTCAGGGCCAGTCCACAGGGCAGAGAAATGTTATCTCCTGTGATCAGCGGGTTATCAGAGGCGCTGACTGCTTAAGTAATAGAGGCCGTTTGGGTAATAATGCATTTGGAGCAGTCCGGAGTTAAAGGGGACGTCTGAGGAGTAGAAGTGACACTAAAGTGGGCTGTCCCGTCCCATCGTCCTGCATGACTGATGAGCCAGGTCAGGTCGGTGCTACGTCTGAAAGCTGCGCACTGCAAAAAGTGATGTACGAAATAAGTACAAAATGGCGGAAATGTTGCTGAATGTATCTTAGTTGGAGCATATTTTGAAACAACATTCGCCACTAGGAACGACAAAATTATCTTTGGAATGAGAAAGTAAAGCAACAGTTCTTGAAACCAGACGAAATAGCTTGTCCATTGGTAAATCTTGTTTTAAGGGAGTCAGAATGAACTCAAATAAAACCAAATTTGAACTTATTTTATGCGATACATTCTTACTGTACCAAAAGTCACTGTTCTTCTGTTGGTTTTTGCATATGGAGTTTTGCATATTCGTAAATAAAAAGGAGCCCTGTGAGTCGCTATGTGATGCTTTGGTCTGAGAGCTGATTGGCCGACTGAGGGTGGTACTCTCTTTTCCACGTTTCTGTCTGAAAAAGCTGAAGCCAAAACACATGTGAAAACTAATGATCGAACCAAACTGTTTTGAGAGCGAGGAACTATAGTAGATGGATACATAGTTCTGTTTTTTTGTGTTTTGAAAGTTAGGAACCCCAGCTTTAAAATGACTTAAAATCAATAGAAAGTTATTATTGCAGCCATGTATTCACTGAAATGATTGATTAGGTTATATTTTTTTTCTCAGGACAGGATAACGTGTATGTAAATCAATCTAAACTAAAATAAATATAAATAATTATCTTTTTTTTTTACTTTATTATTATTATTATCTACCTAATTTTCTCTGTCATTCTCCTGTATAGCGAGATTTTTCTCTTTAAATAAAAAAAAACAAAAATACATAAATAATACCCAAATATATTTACTTACTTTTACTAATTATTTCAGTTTTTTGTGTTTAATTGTGAGCCTTAGGGCATGACCTTTTATTGCCGTAGCTTAATTAACGATATATATTTGCGAGTCCAAAGTCCAACGAACCTGGTCTGAACCGGTCCATTTCCCGAACAAACACGTTCCCAAAGCCTCCCCACTTTTATTGCCCTCTTTCCTAAATGAAATCTGTTTATCTCCGGGGCATCTGTAGTGTTTGCTGAGTCCTGAATTGGTCCCTCATAAAAGCCGTGATGAATGCAGTTATTTGACATTAGCCCAGTGAAGGCATCACGGTGAGTTCAAAGACTTTTTATCACAGCATTTATCTCCACTCTGACTGTAGCCACAGATAAGAGACCACTGTCAGACCAGGGTCGGATCCAGGACTAGACCTAAACTGGAGTCTGTGGTTATCTGAGGCTCTGTTCTGGTCGTGGGGGCGTTCTTTTGGGACAATGGCGGTTTTTCCGACTTTTAGGCCTGTCCAGGTGGAGTTTTTTCTTATTGGTTGGTTTTGGAAAATGTTTTAGTCAGTTTTCTTTGAGTCCGTGGTAAAATGTGTATGTTGTGTTGTTTTCAATCAATCAACGTTTATTTGTAGAACGCTTTTCCTACAAAAGGCAACGCAAAGCGCCTCACAACCCACATCACATCAGGCATAAATCATCAAACATTAGAATCTACATAAACTTAAAAAAACACATTAAGAGCACAAGATATATTAAAGAATAATAAAAAATAAAATCACACAAGTTAAAAACCTTAAAACATTAAAATCACACATGGGATTAAAATCATAAATAGCCATAGTGCATTAAAAAGACTAAAGATAAAATCAAAGACACAATCATTCAGTTGTATGCACAGCTAAACAAAACTGTTTTCACCCCAGTTTTAAAAACTGCCAGAGTAGATGCCTGTCTCACATTCTCGGGAAGACGGTTCCAGACTCTAGCTGCATGAATCTGAAACGCAGCCTCCCCATGTTTATTTCCGACTCTTGGCACCAGCAGAAGTCCAGTCCCTGTGCTCCTCAGAGTCCGGGTCGGTTCATATGGCACCAACATGCTGTTTATTTTCAGTTTAATTCAATGTAATCTGGTACCGCTCTAAATCACAGCAGTTATCTCGAAATCGCCAACACGGATCAGAAAATCAATCGGTTCAGACACAAAGTCTAAAGAACACATGGGTATTGGTCCATGGGGGGAGTTGACCAATGTCCATGTGTTGACAAATGTCCATAAATGTTTTGTTTTCCTTGTTGTCTGACCCACTCTCATGTGTTTCACCTGTGTCTCTGTGTCATACTGCGCTCATCCCCACTTGTTGCTGGGCCATTGTCTTTGTCTGTTCATGTCTATTTAGATTTTTTTATTTGATCATCCTCATCCAATCTTTCTTTTTGTACTCCTGCTTTTTAGTTCCTTCCTTCATTTTACCACACCACAGTCCATCCGTCTTCTTCCACTTTAGAATCTGTTTCCTGAGTTTCGAATCCTGGCCAGTCCGTCCCCGGGGCCAGCTCAGAGACATGTTCTTTGCCGTGTGTCCTGGGTCTGTTCGGGGGTCTCCTCTCAGTGGGACATGAGCGGAACACCTCCCCAGAGCGGCGTCCAGGAGCAGGGCTGGAGTTAGCATCATTTGGACAATTATTCTTTTGATTGCAGTAATCAAAAGAGGAAGTTGTTTAGATCCCAAAGCTTTGAAAAAAAAAAGAAATCTGAGAAAGAGAGAGAGAGACTTGTGACGCTCCATCGAGGGGTCCTCTGGCCCCCACCGCTCTGCCGACCAAACACATTCTGACACTATATCGTTCTAATGTAAACGCTATAGATCCTAAAATCACATTTATGTTTATTTATTGTTCATATTTGTATTGTTATAATAATAATGATAATAATAATTGATATTATGAGAGATCTTCTTTGGTCCAATATAGGGAGATTTCAGATAGAATAATCATTAATGTAACGCTGTATTAATCAACACCTTCAAATGTGTAGGTTTATAATCTAGTTATTGTGCTATTATTATATTATTTTTCATCCAAAAGGCTTAGTAGCCCTAGGGAATTATTAAAAGTAAAAATAAAAAAACCAATGAAATGAAAACATAATTTGGTATTTGCGTCTTGTTTTTGTTTCAAAATATAATATTCATACATTCTGATTTTATTTTAGGGTAGGGCTTGTACTCACTGTGGTCCACTCCTCCACATTAATGATGTGTTTTAAACAACACAGAAGTACCTGATCTCCTGGGTTACACACAGAGCCACTCCTGCCCTCGCTCCGCTCCTGCTTTTCCAGCGCTGGCAGAAAGTAGCAGCTCCACGTAACTACAGCTCCTGTCTAGACACTTCAAACCTGCTTTTACGCACCGGCTCCTCGCTCCGCACTCCACCCCGTGTGTTCCTCCTCTCCTGCGCCTTTGTCCCCCCGGAACTGGGATTGCAGAGAGGGCTGTCCACCACCACCACACCACCTCCTCCTCCACCAGCAGCACGGCGGCTCTCTCTGCTCGCATCTGGATCCACACTCCGCGAACTCTCTCCAACAACTTCCCAAAACTTTACGCGCACAGCTGAGACAGACCTCTCCACGTTCTCGCCGCTAAACCTGGACACACGAAAGACAACAAACAAGAAAGGCAGCGACATCGAACACGTTCTGGCTACTTTTACACCGTGTTTTGCTTTGCCCTGGGTCTTTACTTTCGTCGAAACCAACCACCAACCAGCAGCAGAGAGAGAGAGAGAGAGGGGAGCAAAGATTGTCGCCTCAAGTTAAAAAGTTTTCCCCTTCTGGTTTTATAACTTGTTTTTACGCGCATGACTGGTACCGTCTCGCCTCGTTCGCTTCTAAACGCCAAGCTTTCACGTTGATTCCGAGACGATTCTTTCCTTTGCTCTGACTTAACTTTTTGAATGAAGTTTCTGTTGAGTTGAACAAGCAGCAGCAGCCTTCTCCTCCATGAAGAAACTCACATTGGCTCATGCGTAATCTTTGTCCTATCGTCTTTTTTACCATTACGCACCTGGGCGACTGCGTTTTGTGAATATTGACGTCACTTTTTGTGCTTTTTCTTCAACATTTTGGTTCGTTCCGAGCACAATGAAGGCTCTGGTGTTGCTGTCTGTTGCCTACGCGTTGGTTTCGTGCGTCTTTTCGGCAACAACAGCAGCAGAACTGAAGTCGAAGAACTGCAATGATGTCCGCGCCGCGTACAGCTCCAAGGGATTCAACAGCAACGACGTCCCCAACAAAGGCGTGAACGGTAAGGGAAAGAAAGAGGAAAGGGATTGGGGGGAAAGTTTCTTAAAGCTGATGTCGCACAAAAGAACCAGTTTTTAATCTTACATAAAGGTTGTCTGGGGCCGGGGGTTCGAGCGGTGGTATCCGGGGACCCCCCACGGCTCATGGAAAGGTGTCCTTGTCTCTCCACACAGGGGTTCTCAAGCTTAGGCCAAGGTGCAAATCTATTACTGCTATGAGCCTGTACAAATACTTTTATACTACGTTACTACTGCTATGAGCCTGTACTAATACTTTTATACTACGTTACTACTGCTATGAGTTACTTACTACGGTCACTTCTGCTACAAGTGTCCGTATCAGAATGAGACGAGTTTGAATGGAACTCCTTAACATGAAATTAACACCAGGACTCACTGAATTCTGAAACTACAAGAACTCCCAGAGCCGTCATTTTGACTGCTGCCAGTCAAACCAATGGGATTTTCAGAAATTTCACCTGTGTTTCACCAGATTCATTTAAAGGAAGTAATTTATAAGGATTTTACTCACTTTTAATTAGTGCTAAATCTGGTCATAAAAACTGCAACTGAAATACACCCAAAAAAAGGCTACTGCTAACATCTGGCCATAAACACTGTGTTGTTATGGTAACTAGCACTTGATAATCTCAAAAAGTAAAAGATGATTTTGTAAAAATAATAATATTGATTTAGAAATGAACTTTGTTAAGATGCAGACAAGTCACAAAGTTATGAAGACCAAGAATACACATGAGGTAAGATGTGATAAGTACTCTTCCAAAACTAGAAGGCGTCAAATTAACTGCTCTGGGAGTTCTTGGGTTAAAGGAGATGTATTGTGGTATTGGAGAGTATATTTTCAGATTCATTTTATTTGCCTTTTTCAGTAAAACCACATTGTTATATGTAAAAAGTACCCCAGTGTGCAGAATGAGACGAGATTGAATGTATTCATCAACATGGCTTTAAAGGAGACGCATGATAGTATCTCAATTTTATCCACTGTCTGCTATAATATTGATCTAAAGTGGAAAAATAGTCAAAATACGTTCATTGACTTCCTGCTGATTAGCCCCGCCTCCTCCATGACATCACAACCAGCAGCTAATGTTTTAGTTAAGTTGAAAAATTGCCTGTTTGTTGTCGCCTGAAGAGAAAACGTTTTCCACAGCTGGTTTGAACTTTTACTTTTGTCTAAGTAAAAGTCTTTGTTGTCTGTTGTTGTTTGTCTTTGTTTGAATGTTTTTTAAGTTTCTGTGTTATACCTACTTCCTGTTTTGTTAAGCTAATGACTACAAGAAAAACGCTGTAATAAGGTGATACAAATACAGAGTCAATCTACACACCACCTCCCCTTTAATGACTATATGTACACATTACAACCCTAATGGAGAGAGACTTGTGAGGAAATCTGAGAGACGAAGGAGTCGTTTCAAAACTTTGAGAACCACTGTCCCAAATCTAACCAGGAATGTGTTGAAACGGTCTAACTTAGCCCCAAGAGTGACCCGGGCTAAAGGCCACTCTCATCCGCAACACTGTGCTTTTTGTTCACCGCCGCGCTGCACCTAACACCGCATCCACAGTGACTGCTGCTCAACTGTGGCCGCTCAGTCACTGTAAGAACACATCTGAAGCTCACACCGCAAAAAATGATTAATTATGAGGTAATGAATGCTTGAATAGAGTGGTTTTTGTCTTAATTCGAGTACATTCTGTTTGTACAAGATTTCCTTTTTTTCAAGAAATTGTGCCTGTCTAAAACCAGATCATTCTGCTTGGCTCTTTGGCAAATCTTGTTTTAAAGCAGAAAATGTGCTTGAAATCCGAGGGACATTTTTGCCAAACTTGATCAGTTTTTGCAGTGTATATGATCGAGATGAGAATTTTTAACTGAGCAGGATTCCGGTCATTTTCACACCAATATTGCAAGAAGAATTTAAGAAAGTCGGAGCATAGCTGTGCAGTGTGACTATTGCAAATATCAAACCCTAATTGTTTGTGGTTTAAACATGAAGCTCCTATGTGTTTGTTATTATCACATATCCTGTGTTCGAACTGGTCCATAGGAAGTGTCCATTGGTCTTGCAAAAATACTTTTCTTACTTGAAATATATGCTATGCTACTTTGTTTAAATAAGCGTATAATCCTGTTTTTTCCATTCACAAATCCAACACATTCATCTCGAGTTACTGTTTGGTTGTTTTCAAATGACTTAATTGCAGGTTTTTCTAATTGCATGTTGTCAAATTGCGATTAATCTTGCCGCCCTCGTTCCAAACTATAGCATAGACTCCAAACGAGCATCCGGAATGGTTGAATCAAGGCATTTTTTCTGTATTTAGTGTGAATACTTGGCTTAAAATGAGTGACAGTAGTCCTCCCCCCGGCTGTGTCCTGTCAAAGCCCATGTGGAGAGCCCCCGTTAACAACAATACAGCTGTTTTGGTGCATGTGCTAAAAGTTGCAGGACATTGTTAGCTGGAAGGAAGTTCCTGGGCTCTGGAACATTTGGGTCTACGGCCGGGCCTGGCCTTAAAGCGCAGCTGCCAGCGGTCGGCCTGGTGCGAGGAGTAAATATAGGCTTCATTTAGGAAATAGTTGGAGCTCATTCATAACAATACGAGCCATAATCAGGTCCGCTCCCCACCGAAACGCTCTGTTCTGTTTATTCCCAGGCTTCCTACATGCCGTCTGTGAAGTGTGGGCAGCCGGTAGTCCTGTCGTAAACAGTTATACACCAACCACTGCAGACCCATACATGAGAGATTTCAAGCTAGATGTCTCAGTGTGCTGGTCTGGTGTGGGTTAAAGCTGGGGTACCTGACTTTCAAACTACAAAAAAACCCCACAAACTATGGAATAACTTTAGTTTCAGTTTGGTTTTTGCACTAGGTTTGGCCTCTGTCACATCTTTTTAGATCAGCTTTTTTTTCGCCAGATAGAAAAGTGAAAAAGGGGAGGCGGTCCTTTTTTTTCACTCGGCCAATCAGGTCACAGAAGCGCCAAATAGTGACTCGCAGGGCTGTTTCTCACAAGAATGCTAAAGATAACATGTTTTTTTAAATGAGATGAAGACGGAAAAACTTTACAAATGTCTTTCTCATGGCGCAAACAAATTCTGTTCTTGATTGGAAAAAAGAGTTGGGGTTAGGGATAGTCTGCGGGTACTAGTCTGGAACTAAAAATTATTATACATATATTTTGTAGTTGTTTTCTTTAGCTTTTGCATTTGGGGAGAGAACTATTTGTGCATTAATTCATTTCAAAGCTGTACGTTGAACAGCAGGAGTAGTGTTTGAATCACTAATATCAGAAACTTGAACCTGAAAAGTCTTGGCTGAACTCTTTCTATTTAAAACAACATTTCTGCTGCTATTATTGTCCAACCACTGCCCCTTTTAGGTTTCTTTTAACATTATTGTCCAAACAAATCAATACCAACTGTAACAAATTGCTGTTAAACTCAATAAAAGTCTGGATTTCAGTCAAAATCCTGAAATCCAAATCTCAATCTTTCTACTTGTGGCAGACCTCTCTGTTACATTTGTTAATCTGCCAAACTGCTGCTATGCTTTACATCATATTTCAATGGGAAACAGATTTCGTTAGGCAGATGTTTACCGACGCGACTTGTGCGGTGGCATCTTGGACGTTTTGAAGCCCTGAAAAGTATTATTTGTTACATTACGAGTGAAAGTCAGCGGCGAGAAGGCAGAGCGGAGCAGAGGTTCAGGGACTGCCAGTGATGCAGGAGGTTGTTAACACAGGACGTCCCGGTGGAGGAGGGGGCGGAGGGGGAGGCGGGGGCTGGACATTCCTCCGGTCCCTGCGTACCTCCAATCCCTACTTTTCTCATTTCCTTTTCATTTTTTTTTTAACAGTACTTTAAGTGAATATACTCAGACACACACATTTCAGCTGGACGTCTTTGTGCCTGATCTCCAGTTAGATGTTCGTGAAGGGAACCAAGGGCTGGATTATTTATATTTTGGTCTGGTCTCGTACTTTCTGGGTTAATGATTCAATTTCAAGTATAGTTTATCACATGGATTGGTCAATGCTGAGATTAAGACATCCTTTTTTTCGTCCCACAGTGGGGAAATGTCAGTGTTGCATCAGGCAGCAAAAGATAAGTGAACAAAAAGTCTGCTAAAATCAAATACAATCTATAGCTTTAACATAATACAGAAGCAAGTGTAAAATCTCCAGCCAAAGAAGCAAGAATTAAGTATAAAATCTCTTCTGTTCTCAAAGTGGGGGGAAAACCATGCTTTTAGGGCACAAGATGATTTTAAGATAATAATTCTGTATTTTACTGAATATTTGACGCAATATGTAATACGTAAAGTGAACTGTGAAGAGAGAAACCCCTGCAGCCTCCGGATTTGATCTGAAATTTATTTAAATCCTTTGTCATAGGTTTAACTATTCTCGTTGTTAAGCAAAGGGGAGGGACTGTTTTGGAAATATATTCATAAAAATATATATACTTACTGTTCTTTATAGTAATTCAGTGGCACATGGTCAGAAATATTATGGATTTAGCATGATATACTTCCTATTATTATTATTATTACTCAGTAGGTTTCTCACACATTTTGGGAGGCCCTGAACCACACAGTTTGAAAAGCCAGGCCAGTTTGATGGAATGGACTTTGGCATCAGACTGTTTGGCTCTTGTTTATCTTTTTAGATAAAAGTGATACAGATAAATATGAGGCAGCTCAACAGCTCTGGTCGATAGGACTTATGTCACCAATAATCACAAACCTAAAAATCGTGGCCTGTTCCTTTAGTTTGACACGATGATGAAAATGATGATGGATCAGTCATTTATACGCTGATGAAAAATGAGTCAAAAATGTCTCAAATTTGACAGAGCTTATTAAAGCTTATTATAGCCTTTAAACAAGATTCTGTCAATGGGACAAGCAGAAAAATCTTGAAAATATACAAAAAATGTCTTTTTGAAATAAAACTAAATGGCTTTTTTTC